TTTGAATGAATTTAAAATGGGAATTCGTCGTGTATGAATGAAGCGTGAACTGAAAAGCTAGGAAGCACTGGACGGCTGTTTCTACCTGGTTGGGTCTCATCAGCAGTGCGAAACCATCGACTCAACTAGAGATCAAACCCGGGACTTCATGAGCGGAAAGTAAGCATGTTACCCACTACGCCACCGAGCAGCTGATCGGATCGTTTTTCATCTCGCATTTACACGATAAAGCACAACCCACCTTTGTGAGCTTGTTGCGGGCCACAGACTCTGCTCATCTCAGCACTTGCCTCCGGGTTATGTGTGACTCGGTTGGAAACACTCACAAACTGATTACTTATTTCATGTGAGTAATGGAGGATTTGAATAAATGGATGGATTTGCACTGCTAATGAGACCCAACCAGATCGAAACAGCTGTCCAGTGCTTCCTAGCTTTTCAGTTCGCGCTTCATTTGCCATACAGATGACGAATTTCCATTTAAAATTCAATCAGTTTAGTTGATTTTTTGGGTTATTTCGCACAAGGGAGTTCTGGGAAATAGAATCTGCAAGATGAAATCATGCAGGAAATGATCAACGCGGTGAGATTACAGAATAAGTTCATCGTTTTAACCAAATCACATTGTGCAAACCGGCGTATATTTTTGACGGATTCATATTCAAGCCAGCCTCGTATAATCGTCGTGGTTTCATAAGACCAAGCTATGGACGCGAAAGAGTTGATTTCCCATACATAAATGGCTTCGGGGATTTACAAATGTAGTTCGATTATTCAATTAGACTAATAAATGGTCTGATCTGATCTGATGGCTGATGAATGCCTGTACTTGCGTGTAAAATGTTCGGTTGGCAACACACCAGTTACCAGCGTTTACAAGTTTCTTCCCGTTTCCCAAGTGCCACACAATAGGATCACTATAGAAGATTCTGACAAGTGCGGAGAACATATCATTTCGAATTACGAAGCCCAAATTCTGGTGCTCCCTGTTACCATGGACATAAAAGTGGTTTTCTCATAGCTCCCCGCAAAACTCTCGCTCTCCATTTTCTACTTGGTCATTTTGCTGACTTTTTGCTTCATATATATGTTCACCACGATTTTGTGCATTATCGACAAACACTTTTCTTATCATACGCAGTTCGCTCTTTTCCACACGGTTTACCATATTCGTTTTCTTATGAAAAACGTGGTCTGTTGCCAACCGAATAAACACGTTCATCCGACGCTAGGTTATGTCATTTAGTCATCTATTGGACAATGGAACCACGTGTATGTATGTATGTATGTATGTATGTATGTATGTATGTATGTATGTATGTATGTATGTCTGTATGTATGTATGTATGTATGTATGTATGTATGTATGTATGTATGTATGTATGTATGTAACGGCGCATTTAAAATTGAGTTCCTATGCTTTCCACTGCATTCATATGTACTGTAAATACTAAGGCCACGGACCAAGTTGATTTGAAAACGATCTTGACTCACTGAACGCAAGCGTAAGGGAGCAGACAAATTTGAACGGATTAATACATCTGGTGTTCTTGACTTGTGCAATTGCGGGAGATTATCTAAGCGATAACGGACCAGCACTATCAACATTAACATGCAACAGACGCGGTGGATCAAGACGCGGAAACAGAGCTAGCGTCTGACGCTCGAATCGTATTCACTTGATGGAAAAGGGAAATTCTTTGAAAAGAATCGAGTTTGTCATGATAATTTCCTACGAAATCATTAAGAACAGCCGGGACCATTGGCATTCGTCCGCTTTTTTTATTACACACTTTTGTGTGATGAACAGCAGACAGGAAAAGCCTCATAGTTACGAGGATCAGCTGTTCAGTGATGGAAACCGTTGACTTAATCCCCGGGACTTGGAGTGGCCAACCACACGACGTCCCGATAGGTTAGATTAGGGGTGGTATTGGACCGGACGACAACAAAGCTGCCTACCACCAAAGTTGGGTGGCGGTGGAGGTCGAAAGCAAGCTAGTGACAGCGACTAAACCACTACGCCAACACCCACAAACCGAATTCATTGCACCAACTTCCAAGGAGCGACCATACCATGCGTACACATGACGATGATGATGATGATGATGATACCAGAGCATTATAAATTACGGAACCCAGTGACTGAACGACTATTAGTTTTTAATAACTACTTACCTACATCCTTCTTTCCCTGTCCTATATAAACATATATGCGTGCACCGACTGAACCGCGGTGACATATTTCAAACTGACTGGAACCGTCACACTAATGTTTACAATATATTTGAATGAACGGCTTGTAAATGGATCGATAGAAAATCAGTAAGTCTTAGTGTGTGTGACACGAAATAGATCTGTCTCATTCTTCTGAACGGTCACAAGTAGGTGCATTAGACGTACACGCTGAATAATGCCCCTCTCTACTTACACCTTGGGGTTAACCAATTTGATTCGATAACAAATGCATCTACGCATGGAATGAAGTGTACTCAGTATGTTCCGGCTGTTTATGAAATACAGTTGAGATTGGCATTTTCACAATTTCCGCTTGATTTTAACTCGATCACACCGATTGCCGAGCCCGATATGTAATGCTTCCATTTTAACCATAATCTATGGCTAACCACTTGATCAGACAGTTACCTTTCCCGTGTGTGTGTGTGTGTGTGTGCGTGCGTAAATATCCCCCCTCCCCCACCCAATACTGAGACTTGTAATGCCCCTGCAGCTGACCTTGATATGACGCAATGCCAGTTAGTTTACACCAGGAATGGTCACAAAAATTGACACACTGAACTGACCGAATTGATCCACTTCTCTGCCCTCCTGAATACGAATGTTCCCAGTAGGACAGTGTATCCTTGATTGGTTACCGACTCCACCTTGATGAATACGGAACCATTCCCGTGGAATCCAGCGAGGCACACAGTTCAGAAAATGGGAGCAGGAACTAGGATAGACTTTTGGACCGGAATGGTCCGCGCATAGATAGATAGGTTGTAAATTGGATGAAATCGAATGGAAGTACCACTTGCATTCAAATTTTTATACCTTTCAGAAAATTCACTCGCCTAACGCACTCCCTCTCACTTCTGGGAATAGCACGTAATTCTATTACTGGTGCAAGAAACTGCAACAGCATACACTTTTCAATGCGCATCGGGGTCAAAAATGCATCACACATCTCACGCCTCCTTACGGGTTTACAGGTTTGACATGAGTTCGAACCGAGCATCTTTTGCCTCAGTTGGATATATTCAAATGCATACTTGTGTTAAAATAACTGATTCAATCATCAGCGATCAGAGGAATTGCATAGACAGCCAAAATACGAAATAACTGGAGCATTATCGAAGCGGCGGCCTGGTGGTAACGTCACCAAATTATCACCTCCACCCCCCACCCACCCACCCCACACACAAACCCCGGGATGTGTGTTCGAATCCCAACACCACCGGCTGATTTTCCCCAATCTGTGTGTTGAATGGCAGCCCTTTGATGGACCGCTTCTCTCAGCCTGAAAATTGTATTCCTGTTTGTTCAATAAAAGGAAGTAAAATGAAAAGAAAAGGAGAAAAAGTAGGATTTCCTATACTAAGATCAGGCAAAATTTCCCCAAGCATCCCTATCCCTACTAAGAAGGGAACCATGAAATTCTTGCAGGGGGATGGTGAGATATGATAACCCGATCAAGTGAGTGTGTGAAAGTGTCATTTCAAAAAAGCAGCAAGAGGGGGGGAGAATGAGCTGGGTGAAAAGAAAACTAATCAGAAAGCGGAGCACAAAGACCAGTATGATTGTAGGAAAAATGGTGCCATAAAACGCTTACTGATACAAGGGAAACCGGACATCTTATATTTAGCTAACCCGCGACGGATGAGCTTGCAGTCTATTTTGAGCAGGCCTCGGAACACCACAGAAGATAGTACGTTGTCTAGTTACTTTGTCAATTAGATCGATGTGGTACGATAGCATATGTTACCTTGAAGGGGGAAATCGACGAAACTTTCTATGTGAATCTGACGTTAAATAGGAAAGTGCACTGTTTAAAAAAAACCGTTTTTCGAAACCACCTCGTAGGAGAGATTTGACACTAAGCATCAAGTGTGGACTGAAATGGGACTGTTTTATTTGTTGAAAGTGAAAATGAAGGCAATTTATATGCTCTGCGATAACGCAATTCGATGCCCCCAGATAGTCCCAGGGCCCATCATATGTGATCTAATCATATCATTGATGTGACTGACTCTGGGAGAAGCAAGTGAAATCAATCCCATCATTTAGGCTCTATTGTACAGTGATATGTTGAAAAAATGGATTACATCCCAGGAGAACATAAACCGACTTCAGGAAGATCATAGAGTTCCACTTGAGGGTTTGATGTACAATACATTCCTTGACTTTTTCGACGGTGCATTTCTAATTTGACCAAATGCGGATTGTAAGCAAGGAAATCTCGAGGCATGACTACCCAGTAGTAGCTCATTCTTCGTTGGATGGATGTGGATTCAACCCCGATGAGCCACGCACGCCTTTAAGTTGAAGCCCTTCGATGAGGTAGTGGATTTCATCCGCCCACTAAGGCTTAGCTGTAATCGTATAACACACACACCATCCTGCCGAAAGTTTAAAACCTATTTACCTCAACCTATTTCAGTCGTTCTGACGACATACGAGGTCTAGATAAATATAATAGAAGCCAAAAAGAGTTGAAATATTCCACGAAGGGGCACGACAGTCGACCCGTTGATAGGTGCTGCTCCTTTCAGATATCCCACGTGTCCAACAGTGACTAAAGCTCCATAACAATAGTCTGTTGACTCCGCATTCAGCACCATATAATGATGGTCTTATCCTCTCTTGTGGATGTGTTAAACCAAGTATATAGGAATCATATCTGTTGGGTTCAACTAAACCATCTGTCAGATACCGAGTGTATGCAGTCTGGATCTGTTTCTCCGTAGAAGTGAAATAATACGATAGTATTCTGTCGAAAAATGCTCTCACAATCCCCCTTTTGCTCCACTCTGTTTCCATTCGTACAGAGAAGAAAGTTATTCGGCCAAAACGTCCAGCCACCGTGGAACGACCTCCTTCTNCCTCCTTCTGGATGTGAGGTGCCAGTGGATAAGCGGAATGGGACGCATTTGGATGAATGGGTAAACGGACACAACCAAAGCCCACCAACAACAACACAACCACAGCTGGTCTCGGTTAGAAAGCCCAGTGCTCGAGGAAGTCAATCGAAGGAGATGAGCTTCTTCGAGGAAGCTCAAATGGCTAACGAGAACACATGGGACGAACCGCGGGAAGAGTCCAACGGACACCTCGATTCAAGCTATGAACCGCGAGAGTCCGTGGATATTTCCGAGTCAGCTCAATCTGTAGAGAATTATTTATCCCATGAACCTTTAAATCACGAACCAGAAGAGCCGGATGAACCAGCATCACATTTTACCAAGTTCTCGCCACAGCAATCTGTTGAGTCAACAGAGCCACGTCGTTCATTCACACCAAACTTGGATCGGGCAGCCGCGGCCGGCAATCTATTCGAAGAACTGCAAGCTCATGACACAGAGCACCGATTAGATGACGAGGTGTTGCACGCGGAACACTGTGAACAATTACAGGAGACAACCGCTCCACTGTTTGTAAGCACTGGGGAAGAAGAGGGTGACGAAATGCCACAAAATGCATTCCCAGTTCACACGTTTGATAATCAACCACATCATCTTGCCCAGAGTTCACAGCCCGGTGAGAAANACCCTGAAACCAGTGTGACTTCAGACAAAGAGGACGACTATATCGGTGCCTTTCTGAAAACCCAGCCGAAACTGAGTCACCCGACCGGTGAGAATCATGCAACAACCATCGTGGATAATCACGCGGATCAGGTTGGTACTTCCGTGGTCCATCCGGATTCGACGAATGCACATGACTCTGACTTTCCTGAAGACTAATCTTCACCGCTAAACAATGATATACTCACTACAAGTCTCGTTGGGTCATTCAATATTTTGGCTCCCATGATGGAATGATTGCACTCGCGCACACAAACACAAGCACGCAGAGGAAGATACTTCCTCCAAGTGTTTCTAACACACACACACACACACACACACACACGTACATTCACAGGCCACCACCATCTGTGTAGCCTCTAACATAACGCACGCACGCACGCACGCGCACACACACACACACACACTCAACCAGTTCGACGCATTTCGTTTGCCTGTATTGCACTTCTCATTATTGGGACTTTGGCACGCTATACACAAATACTCCCCGGGGAGAGGCAAGTACAGGTGAATTACTCTTTTTTTCTCCTATTTCGAAAACTAACAAATCAAAGAAAGGTCTGCTATCTGGCTAATTCGTCACCTATACATATTTGTGTTTGTTCTTTTTCTACGGGTTTGTTTAAGTTTTCGCCCCACTCCACTTCGTCAGTTGAGTGTTTCTCTTCCAACCAAATCCTGACCACACCCCCCACACCCCGCTCCGCCCCGTTACCCTGCCACATGCATCCGAACCCCCTTACCCCATGCCTGCCCGTATCTCGCCGTGTGCACCCAATGATCTGTGTCAGATTCGTGGGGGTAGGTGGGTTGCTTTCAGTATTCTACTTTGCTTCACATTTGTTCACCACTCCCCTTTGGATATCTGATTTGGTGCTATCATGAGTTTGCGGTTAATATACAAATATATATATATATATATAAATAAATCACTCTGTCTGTTGAAAAGTCACTGTTCTTTTTTTATTTAGTAATTAACTTGCGGGTGTCAATTCAAAGTCAAAGTCAAAAATCGCCTTATTCATGCTAGTGGATGAATTCTCAGCTTCTTACAATCCGGGAACATTTATCGTCGCATACAGTCACAAAAAGGTGAGAAAAAAAACAGCATCGTCAATTCAAAGAAAGCTGGAGTAAGAAGTTTGAAAATGAATATCATTTGCGTAGGTAATTCAAAAGGTTTTCTCTGACGGATGCCTTTTTGGAGCCAGAAATCTCGAAGATCGGGGATGACGGGCAAACGATCGACAGTGGTACAAGCATACACCAGTTTGTAACGACATCTAGTTACAGAAGTGGATACGGGTTGTTCAAGTTCTGTGTGTAATGGGTGAGTGGTGTCTGCTAGAATATTGCAGCGGAAGTTATCGCAAGAGGTGATGTGTTGATCAGCAATAAAGTTAAGCAAGTGCAAATAAGGAATACCGCTTGTGCGAGAAATAATTTTAATAGATCAGGGTAGAATTGTGTAACCTTTAGCTTTAAAACCGGCAAATAAAACTGGGGAGCAGTAGAGAAGATGAGTAACATCATAAGAATATATATAAATCAAGTGAGTAAATACAGTGGAACTTACAAAGAACGCATACGGGAAATAAAGAAACACAACCGTCGAATCTTTACAAAAGTAGAATTCAAATGTGAAGTTCAGGTGGGAACTTGGCTGATAGTGACACCGAGGTATTGTAGAGAATTTACTGGGGGAACAGGCTAGTTGTCAACATAGAGTGCAGAACAATTCCTTTCAAAAGAATGTAGCCGTTCTCCTTTGGCTGGTGAAAAGGTGACATCGCTACATTTAGATGCATTGAGAGATAACTTGGAATACGAAGACCATAAGTTTAGAGCAGATAAACTAGCTTGATTCACAAGGGAATATGCCCGTTCATTGTGAGCGGAACAGGAGAATCCAAACCCAAGTTTTTAAACGTATTGAAGATACTGGCGAACTAACAGCTGTATGTTTGGACAATACTTCGCCTTCTAAACCAAGTTTACTCTTTAGTTCAGATTTTGCACTGTAAATTCTTGTTGAATTTTGGTACACCTTTTGAATTAAATTAGATTTCCGGTTTCATCAGGGGGTGCACATAGGCGGCCACAAACCAAGGGTTTTGATGCCACATATGATTTAACTGATTCCATGATTTGACAGTAGAATAATCAATGAATGTTGCGATTATCATGCTAAAAAAAATGGTTTGTTTCGGTGCCACCGGGGTCAGAAGGTGCAGTGACAATGGACAAATCTTTGCTTCACAATCTTGGGCCCGAAAGCAATACAACGAGTTCGGTAGGACCGTTGATCGAGAAAGGACCAGGATCCCCGTATCGAGGTGGAATATCTNCTTCCCCAACTCCCCTTCTCACCAAAAATTACTTGAGCAGTGCTTCTATGCGGCAAATTTCCTTCGCGTCGAGTTGAACAAAGTTCCATTTCACATATTGTGCTACAGTGAATCGGGACTTTTTTGTACTGACTGGTTATTTCTGATGTGTTGAAATTAATCTCGTGAAAGCGTAGGTGCTGTATTGGTCTAGATTAGTGAGCCCGTCGCAACGAGCCATGCATGAGCATGATTTGTACTGATCCACTTAGAGACCCGTGTCTATTCCAAGGTCATTCATTGTTCGTGAATTTCGTACACGTTCACTGTTAAGTTATCGAAGACGGCATCAGTTCATCAATATCACTGATTCCCCGGGATTAACAGTTTCTGTGCTGAATTAAGGACCCTAAGTGAACACTGCAACCGTTTTATTTGCACCAAGTTAAATTAACGAGATGCAACGCTTCATTCACGATATAAATTATGATTGCATGGCGACTTCCAGAAGTTCAGTAGTCTCGGTGGGATTCGAACCAACGCATGGACGCCGCCTACGATTTGTACGCGCATGCTCTACCAGCTGAGCTACGAGACAACACCGATAGCACTGATCTTTCCATATTCGAATTGCTCATCCAACTTACAGAGGTATATGGCATCCACCACTTAACATGTAAAATGATTGTCCCGACAGGTTTTTTGACTGTAGGTTAAAATTAAAGATGCTTTAATAAAATTTCATATTCGAACTTTTAATCAGGCTGCTATCAATATTCTCGAAAATGTTAATCAATGATCGTGCATACCGGAGCAGATACCAAGCCAAAAAGCTGTACGGAGGTGCGATATTTCCCTCACGGAGTATAGAATGCAATAATACTTTCATTAACTTCAATGTGCCGAGTATATATAGCCTTAGGCGTGATATGCTGCGATGCACAAATTTGTCTGTCGGCACGTGGAAGGTTGGGCCAGCCTTCCAACAGAATCTCTCTCTGTCCGCCGCTTTGATTTCAATCCGCGAACCCATACGAGAACGATTTTCGCTATTTCCAGTTCGAGACAAAAAACCGGTTCTCTTAACAAAAGCAGAAAATATAAATCGAGTTACTATGTATCATTGTCTGTGACGCCATGGAGACAAACAGGCTGTTCGATGCGAGTTTAGCAAGTACTTCTAGTGTTAGTGCTGTCCATTGAAATCAGTCTATAGAAGCAAGATGTAGGCCGACACAGTGAGTCAGCAATTTTTGTATGCACATCCGACACCAAGACAGATCGATAGACAGACAAACAAACAGGCAGGTATGATGGCAGCGAGCAACTGAATTATACGGGCCCTAGAGACGTGTACGGTAGTCGATACCGATGACTGACCAAACCACAAGCGCGCACATATGTGTTAGAAACTTCGGGAAAAGTTCTGTTCGTGAATACCGTATCAGTCCGTGCATCTAAGGCGTGCACTTCACCATATGATTGCGACTGTTATAACTATAGACTGTTCAATTCCTCTTCTGTTTATTGTTCGCTACCGCGTGTGTTCAAACCCCTCTTTCATCACCTGACTTTCCTATTCGCTGCTGGGAATTGTTTGATTGACCACGGTCCCTTTTCCGAATATCGTCATTACACAAAATCCCCTCCTCCGTCCGGTATGATGACAGCAGGATGGAGTGAAGTAATAAGCCAGGCGATTGACCCAAATGAGTGTCGTATTGTTAGACAAGGCGCACTGGAACAGGGAACAGTTTTTAATAGTTGACTGGCGTCAGCAGTGGCGTTGTTGGTCGTGCGTTCTCTGAGCTGGAAGTATTGTTCGCAGACTTTTCGTAGCCAGACCAGACACTGATGATGTTGCCTAGCCTGGCCACGAAACGTCTGCGAACAACACTTCCAGCTCGGAGAACACATGATCAACAAAATCCGCATCCCGAGGTACAATCGTTCCATATTATTTCCGTCTTCAGTAGTCTCACATAAAATGCTCGAATTGTATATTTGGTACTCAGTGATTGCTTTTCCCTGAAAACTGCGACTGGAATAAACGGAGGAGTAGGGGATCGTAGAACAAACAGAAAGGAAAGTTTGAATAACTCGGAAAGAATGAACTGTTTTACTCTGAGTTCTTCATATCTCTGGGGGGAGGGGCAATCGTTTGCCCAACCACGGATATTTCCAGTCTCGATCAAATTATTATCGGACGACAATTTTGCTTCTGTTGTTGTACATCTTCTATCATTTAAGAAACTTCTTGGAATCAACGCCCTCGCCTCTGAGCTAGCTACACATCGAACGGTCACCGCCTTGCGAACAAAGTTGGCACAGAGAAGTGAACATTGAACTGAGCCGGAGGCTCCGCGACAACCTGAAAATGATACACTGAACTGCTTTTGGTGAGTCAATAAACAAAGATTTCCGGCGATAAATATGAACAAATCTGACTGAGAACAGGTGCTGTGAGGGGAAATCGATTCGATCGGAAGACTCTAGCAGCGAGGAGAGAAATGAGACCAGGAAAAAACTACTAGCAATGACGGTGAAATTATAGCTCGAAAGATTAAACTGAGGGCGATTGATTGAAGCCACAACAGATTTAATGTCAAGCGCTTTTGGAAGCACAGGATTCGCTTAAGGTGAGTGGTTGATGAAGCCTCCAATACGAATAACCGATGTGGATCGTGAAGACATAACAAAACAGAACGGGTCGATCGGATTGACCTTGTGATCGCTCTTACGCTCACGTGACGAGCGGTCGCAGATGTCGATCTACGTGTCACGCTTATGCTTGGTTGGTTACTTTCGGTAGTTGCATTTCGCTCTTATTTT